CGACATGCAATGCTGCAAAATAGCCGATTTTGGACTCGCTGAAATAAATCTCGCTGGAAGCCACAGAATTTCATCAGGTGAGATAGGCTCTTTGAAATGTTCATGCAAACATATAAGACACACAAAGTACATGACAGTTCTCATCTATCTGCAGATATAAAGGTCCCAGTGAAATGGATGGCCCCTGAGATATTTGACAACAAGGCTTACACAAGCAAGAGCGACGTCTGGTCTTTCGGCATCCTTTTAACTGAAATCGTGACATATGGAGATGACCCATACCCAGGTAAATACATTTCACCACCCTAAACATGACACATGTGGGTGTAGGATTGCATCTCACCCAACTCTGGTGCATTTGTTTCTTCCACAATCTCAGGTATGGACAAAATGACATGCGTTCGGTCCATTCAGAGAGGAGAGCGGATGGAGAGACTGGCTGGCTGTCCCGAAGCACTCTATGACATTATGCTACTGTGCTGGAGGTCAAACCCTGAGGAGAGACCAACATTTACGGAGCTACGGGAGAAGCTGATGGCTCTCATAAATGAGCCTGATTCTGAACTGGAGTAGATACTGTAGAAATGAGAGCACTGGGACACTTTTGAGCTTAGATTATACATATCCAACACATATACGATCACTTATAGTTTACAGAGGTAACAGGACATATCTACTGAAATTAATGCAATATGGGTGATTGGTATTACTTCACAGTAATATGCCTTTTTAAAATTTAGAACAGCATAAAGATCCTAAAAATATATCTAAAATTATATAATGCAGTAATGTGAATTTGGAGCTATTGTCATGGCCTTAAAAAGAGGCTTCCTTTTCTTTAGACAAAATTTAAAAATAAATGAATACATTTAGATTTTGGCATTACATGCGACTCAGACATGTTCTTGACAGATTTCATGAGATTCATCTATATGCAAACTGTGACATAAATCTCTTATGAAGTTTCTTAGTTTCCAAAAAGCTGTTTAATATTCCCTGGTAAGCAGGAAATATTCCATTGTTGACTGACATTTTTTGTGATCAAAGCTGCTGAACTAAAAAATGCTGGATGTCTTGACCCC